ATTCTATCTCCAGCCTTATTTCTGTCACCAAGTCCATGTGTTCCAGCAACTGATCCTTCTTCCCTGAACCCAACTTTTGCATTCCAGTTGCCCATTATTATCACTACATCTTGATTCTAATGTTCAATCAATTTCTGATTGTAAAAGTTGGTAGAAATCTATTTCCTCCTCTTTGGTTCTAGTTGTCAGTGTATATATTTAAATGATAGTGGTATTCACTGTTCTTCTTTGTATGTGTTTGGATATTCTGTCACCCCCATTGTATTTTATGTTGGATCCAGAAATTACTTTTAATTATGAAATAACATTTATGCACAGCCATGTTTATTGTGGCTTTGTTCACAATAGCAGGGAGTTGGAAGTAACCTATGTGCCCATTAACAAACGAATGGATAGAGAAGCTGTGGCATATTCACACAATGGAATACTACACTGCATTGAAAAACAAGGAACTCATGAAATACTAAAAATGGGTGACTCTGGAGGCCATTATGCTGAGTGAAGTATCTCAGTCACAAAAGGACAAATACTGCATAGAGCCACTGTTGTAAAACAAGACTGACATCGGGGTTGGGGGGAGACTGAGAAAGAGGGGATAAATAATGTATACTGCATTGAAACAGATGAAGGAGTAACTGTTTAAAAGAGATATGTGATTAGGTATTTTTGTCATGACAAGTCTAGAATGATGGCTGCATAGTGGAGTGGACCTGGGGGGAGGGTTTGTAAAACAATGAAAATTTTTTTTCTGTTTTTCAAGAAGAATGTACTGGAGGTGTGGGGGAAGGGAGAAAAGTGAAACAATGAATGACGAAATAAAAAAGGCAACATTAATTTTTTTAAAAAATGTTGAAGCCCCATTGGGAATAATAATACATATTTAGTAAGTAGTAAATTAAGCATTTATCATACTATCATGTATATATTAAATGTTATTTAACTGGAATTATCCCTTAAAAATGTAATAATAATGTTACAAGCTTAAAATCATTTCGTTTTAAGGAAAAGGTGTACATGGGTGTGTGTGTTGGTTAGAATTCTGTTCCTTTTCTGCAATACTAGGTATCACTGTGAAATGGAATTACTTGGTTTTTTTGTCTTTCATTCAGTGTTGAAAACCAAATGATATTTTTTAAAAGTTACAGTAGCTTGAGACTGTATCTACTGTTACTCCAAAATGACTGACCACATGCTTTCCATTTTTGCACGACGTTAGGAAATTATAATTTAGTTTAGCCGGACCTTAAGATTATTTGCTGAAACTTTAAATAGAAGTAGAACAATCCAGGGAGACGAGTAGCTAAGCACACGAGGGACAAGTGGAGTTTCATACATAGGTGTGACATATACACTGATGGTCTGTGTGTTTTTTGTGTGCATGGGAGTCAGTGTCTGAAACTTTGAGTGATTGTTATTGGGTGCCCTCAAGTCAACTACAGCTTATTAGCCCTGTGAACAGACCTGAACCTCACTCTTGTGGTGCCATCCTCAGTCTCTGATATGCTTTAGCTCACTGTTACAGTCACTGTGTCAGTCCATCTTGTTGAGGATCTTTGCTTTCTCTGTCCCTCTACATTTCCTGGCATGATGTCTTCGTCCTAGCCCCTCCTGACAACATGCCTAAAGTACGTGCGACAAAATTTGCCCATCCTTCCTATGCACTGTCAAAAGTCTCTCGGAAGAAGTACACGGGATAGTCAGTATTCTTTGCCTGTATCACAATTCAAAGACATTTATTATTCTTAGGTCTTCCTTACCTATTTTCCAACTCTTAGATGCAAAGGTGGTGGTGGTTGTTATGTGCCGTCGAGTCATTTGCGACTCATAGCGACCCTATACAACAGCCCTAAACCCTGCTCTATCCTGTGCCAATCGCATTCCCTCTGACACACCCATCCTGATTACCCCAGCCACTGAATCAATCCACCTCATAGAGGGTCTTCCCCTCCTGCGCTATCCCTCTACCCTACCAAGCATGATGTCCCTCTCCAAGGACCTGTCTCCTTACAGCATGTCCAAAGTATGTCAGACGAAGCCCCAGAATCCTTGCCTCCAAGGAGTAGCCTGGTTTAACCTTCTCTAGGATGAATCTGTTTTCTTGGCAGTCCATGGTACATTCAATACTCTTCTCCAGCACCACAGCTCAAAGGCGTCAGTTCTCCTTTTGTCCTCCCTAGTCATTGTCCAATTCTGATGCATAACAAGTGATTGTAAAAACCATGGCCTGTATCAGGCAGACCTTAGTCTCCATAGAGACACCATTGCTCTTGAGTACTTTAGAGAGGTCCCTAACAGCAGACTTTCCCATCGCAATACATTTTTTTATTTCCTGGCTGCTGGTGCCAAGAGTGTTGACTGTGGAGCGGAGCAAACTGATGCAAAGGTAGCAACTGAAAATAGTATGAGTTTGATCAGGCACACCTTAGTCTTTAAACTGACATCTTTGCTCACTAGCATTTTAAACAGGTCTTGATTTCCCCAGTGCAACATGTCATTTGATTTCTTGGCTACTGTTACCATTGGTATAGATTTGTGAGTTCAAGTAAAATGAGACTGTTAAACACTTCAGTCTTTCTTCGTCTGTAATGATGATGCTTTTTGGTGGTAAGGCTTTCTGTCTTAAATGTAACACATATTGACAACTGTAGTATTTGATCTATATTAAATTTTCATACTGTGTAGCTTCTAGAATTATATGTGCAGCATATAGATGGAATAGGTACTGAGAAAAGATACAACCCTGACACACACCTTTCCGGATTTTAAGCAGTATACCCTTGTTTTATTTAGACAACTGATTTTGATCTATATATAGATTTCACAAAATGATGTTCGAGGATTCCCATATTTTACCATGAACTTTAAGAAGAGGTAACTGAATGTTTTAATCATTGTCAAAAGTTGTATTTCTACCTGTAAATTAAAGGTAATTTTAAAAGTTGTTTTATAATGGAATTTAGACAAAGTTGTAATCGAGTGGATGACTAGAGAAGTCTGTGGATTATGAACTTAGCAAAATTAAATCGCTACGACATTGACAAGGATGCTTTTCATTATATTATTCATTCAGAAAAGATTTCACTGATTACCTGCCATGTACCAGGGACTGTTCAAAGTACTTGGCATGCACCAGTAAGCAAATCAAAGCCCCCACCTCTATGGAGCACAATTTGGTGAGAAAGGTGTTGTAACATAGTTAAAACTATGTTGTTTACATAGTAAACAAGTATAGGAGGTGAAAAGTAATGCATTTAAGACTTACTGCTTTTTCTCTCACTGATGGGCAGATTTGAACAATGCAAGATGGAGCGAGTTGTCCAGATATTTATGGGGAAGAGTATTCCAGGTGGAGAAAAGGACATGAAAAGGTACAGAATTAGGATATCAAAATTGTTGTGTTGGGAGAGAGATCATTTCAGTGCTTTTGAAGGTAGAGCTAATGGATTTTATTCATCGATTGAATCTGAGAGTATGAGAAGGTCGTTTTGTAGTTAGTGGATAAGACTTTCATCCCATGTACAAAGTGTGTGTTGTGATCAAAGTAGGTTTAATGAGTTTAAGAAGTTTCAGCACAATGGCTGAAACATTAAGCTGCCAAGTAGTACCTCAGAAGTTTGAACCCACTAGCCATTCCTCAGGGGAATGTTACAATAGCCAGCTTCCATACACACAGCCTTGGAAACTTCGTATGCCCTGCATGGTCACCATGTATTGGTATGAACTTGAAGGCATGGGTACAGTGGGTTTGAGAACACCATTCTCTACATCAATACTTCATTTAAATTTAGAATGGTTTAAGAGGGAATTTCTGTCTAGGCTCAATGGTTTCATATCCCCAGCTTTTTAAGATGCTTTGATTGTCAATTAAATCTTGTGATTCAGCCCTAAACTGTTAATACGTGTTTTCTTTTAGTGCCCACATTTTCAACCCTTGCTATGTGAGGCACACAGGTGGTAGCAAAGCACGGAGTTTTTCTTTAAGTAGAGACCTATTCCATTTCAAAGTGACCTTTATCATGTCTGTTTTAGTGGCCTACTGTATTTTGTCATTTAATAGAAAATTAATAAACAAGTCGGCACAGGATAGAGCAGAATTCAGAGGTGTATATTAGGATTGCTATGAGTAGCACGCATAACAACAGGGTAAAAATGAACAAGAGGGTAAAAAAAATCCAAGAGGATTTTGCTCTTGGTTCCTACACGTGGCTAGGTAAAAAATGTGGCTATTTGCTTCCCCTCTATATGCTCTGTTACTTGAGACTTACTCTCCTATCAAGAAAGGGACTAACAGTAGAAGCTCTTGTTGAGTGGATACGGAGTTGCATTCCCAACCCAAAGACAGGCAATTCGAATCCGTCAGCTGCTCACCAGGAGAAAGATGGTCAATAGTCAGTGTGATTTATGGCTCCCAAAACTGGGTGAAGGGTCAGCTGTGAGTTGTTCAGACTTCATGACAGTGAGTTTGAATGTGTGTGTGTGTGCTGATACTGCCTAGGATAGGGAGTGACCTAGTAGGTAAGGGGTTGTTTGCCAAACCAAACTGGCAGTTGGGATCCACCAGCTGCTGGACTTAAGGGCAGCCTATGAAAACCTGCTCCAGGGTCAGCTATGAGGTGACTGCCTAGGACCTGTACATACTGCTCGCCAGGAGTACCTCTCTTCTCTCCATATAAAGTTATCTTTACTATTTTGTTCTTGTTGGGAGTTTGAAGAAACTAAAAGAAGCCATTATTTCAGGCCACCTTTGGAATACTTTCACTTGTGGGTGTTGGTTACATTTACACTTCACTCGGCAGGGGAATCCCTTCCAGCGTGCTCCGGAAGGTTGGAGATCATGCGGGTTTTTGGGAGCAGGAATACCAGCTGATGGCGTTAGGTCCAGGTCCTGTGCGCGGCGCTCCGGAGCCTCGGAACCCACCCGCCTCTGCACTTCTGGTCCCCGCGCCCTGTCTGACCACAACAGAGTGCCGAGGGTCAGCAACTCCCTTCCCACTTCCGCTGCCGCCGCAGCCCCCTCGCAGGCGGCAGCCCCCAGCCCCGCGGGCGGGCGGCGCGCCTGGCCTTCTTTGGCCACGCGGCAGCAGCAGTGCCGAGGCGTCAGAGGGAGGCGGGCGCCCCGCGCGGTGACGGCGACGCCTGCGGGAGCTCCACTCACCGCTGTCGCCTGAGAGCCTGGTGACCTTTTGGCCGCCCGCCGCGGAGGCTCAGATGGCTCAGGCGAAGATAAACGCGAAAGCCAACGAAGGGCGCTTCTGCCGCTCCTCCTCCATGGCGGACCGCTCCAGCCGCCTGCTGGAGAGCCTCGACCAACTGGAGCTCAGGTGAGCGCGGCCGGCGGCGCGGGGCTGCGGGCGGAGGGCGGCGTGGGCGCCTTGCTCGCCTTGCTCGCCGCGCTGGCGGTTCCCCGCGGAGGCCGAGCAGAGCTGCCACCGGGCCTGTCCCGCCATCCCGCCGACCCCGGGCTGCGGTGCAGCGAGAGCGGGGCGTGTCTGGCATTGGTTTTGGATGGCATTGGTGCGATTATGTTGCTTGGTGCTTTTTCCTCTTGTCCGGCTCGTTTAATTAAAGCTAGACCTGTGAGCATGTGGCTATAGTCTCATTCACATTATATGGGCATTTGAGAGAGGAGGGAACGAAGAAGGTGAAAGTTAGGATGGCATTGAGATTAGGGTCTGTGGCATGCCAGGTCTACAGAGCTTCCAGAACCTTCTCTCTGCCTGGGTGTGATCTTCCCAAATATTTTTAACGAACACATTTCTCATTACACATATTAAAAGGAGGCAGTTGTCCTTGTGAAATGATCAATTTTCTTGCTCCCAGTCGTTTCTTAGAGAGAAACCCAGGAATCCACCCAATAGCAAGGATTGGAGAATAGTGGAGCAAATGCTGAGCTATGGAGTATGTAGTGATTGAATATTCTGGGAAATAAAGACACTGCCATTTCCCTTTCTCTGGTAATCCTGCATATTGTGTTTTTAGTCATTCCGTAATTCTTCAACTATTTATTGTGTAGTTCCTTACCTAGCAAGTCACCCTGTTGACACGACACCTTGAAGGTGCTAGTTACTGGCTTGAAAGCATGAAAACATAGGTTTCCCTTTTACACCAGGTAAAGATTGCATTAACTGATTACCAGTAATAGACTTGTACAGAATTTTGAAATAACTTGTCATAAATTTTAGGAATACTTTTTTAAACAGTATATGACAACTTAGTGTTTCCAAGAAGCCTTTTGTGCACCAGTTTGTGAACTTAAATGAAAATTTAGTGTGAAAAACAATGTATATGAGCTTTGTAAGTAAAACCAGTATGAAATAAAAATTTTACTTAAAAAATTTTAACTAAGGCAAATATTCTTAAATTGGCACATATGAACCCCCTAAAATTGAATGTAGAATTTAATTTCATAGCTTTTCCCAGGTTCGCAAATGTATATGTGATCCATAGAGTGCTGCATGTATGTGTTTATCTCCCAGTTGATACAGTAAACAGGAAGAGATTGTATGTTTGCCAAGAAATTAATTAATAGCTACAGTATTCTCTTAATACTTGAGGCACTTATTACTCTGCCCTTCCCAACCCTACCCTCTCTGAGAAGTTGGAAAATAAGTAGTCATCCACTTACGATTTTATGAAGGATAATGGAGAAAAATCTGAGCCCAGCTCCAGGTTTGGGAGGTCTGCTCGGAATGAAACATGGAACAAGAGAAATAATGCTTCTCTGTGAGTTCCGCAAAAGCAGAAAACCTTAACTGTTCACACAGAGAAAGTGAAGCAAAACTAGAGATCAGTGACTTCAACTACTTTCCAAGTCTACAAAATAACATACAGCAGCAGCAGTTTGAAAAATATACACATTGCTCCCCGTGACCTTTAGAAGTTTGAGAGCACATTTTCTAATTTTTTAGAGGAGTCTCTCTCCTCAATTGAAAAAGAAAGATTTTTTTCCCCCTCAAGGAATGGTGAGGGCGTGGCAGGCCCCTCTTTCAAGCTGAGTCATTGTCCTCAGACCTGTGCCTCACATGGGGTAGGTAGATAAGTAGGCAAGTGTTTCTGTTTTAAAAGAAAGCCTCTAGTTTTGAGTACTATGTGGTGAAATGGATAATGTAAAGTGTACTGACTCATGACAGCACATTGCAGCTTGCTTAACTAACCCTTGAACAAGGGAGGAAGAACAATTGATTAATTTATGTCTACTTGTTTATTTCAAGAATTTTTCTAATGGTTCTAGACTCTAGCTTTACTTCTTACTTTAAAATAATGAAAACTTAGGAAATGTTTCTAAAGGTAAGAAAATATAGAAGAAAATGCTAATGTCAGTTCTATGAAATTGTTTTTGGAATCACAAGACCAATGTCACAGAACTCTACACTATTAAAAACTTCAATCAGGCCTACCAAGATAACTTTTTAAAAGAAGTCAATATAAAATACAATTTTTGTTGTTGTTGTTGTTGTTATGTGCCGTTGAGTCGCCTGTGACTCATAGCAACCCTATGTACAACAGCCCTAAACTCCGCTCTGTCCTGTGCCAATCGCACTGTCTCTGACACTCCCATCCCAATTATCCCAGTCACTGAATCAATCCACTTCATAGAGGGCCTTCCTCTCCTGCGCCGTCCCTCCACCCTCCCAAGCATGATGTCCCTCTCTAAGGACCGGTCTCTCCTCACAACATGTCCAAAGTAAGTTAGACGGAGCCTCAGAATCCTTGCCTCCAAGGAGCCACCCGGTTTAACCCTCTCCAGGACAAATCTGTTTGTTTTCCTAGCAGTCCATGGTATTCTCAATACTCTTCTCCAGCACCACAGCTCAAAGGCATCAATTCTCCTATCCTCCTTGGTCATTGTCCAACTCTCTGATGCATAACAGGTGATTGCGAAGACCATGGCCTGTATCAGACGCACCTTAGTCTCCAGAGAGACACCACTGCTCTTCAGCACTTTAATTTTATACCAAATAGGATTAATACAGTATTAGCTGGAGGAAAATGGTACAGTTTGTACTTAGAAGCCAATGGGCCTATAGGTTATGGAAGAAATTGATAAGAAACTGAAACCCTGCTTTTGCCAAATGCTTTTATGACTTTAATTATCAGCCAAGGTATTTGATGTTTAAGATACATTCAGATATATGGCAGTATTATTCACATTGTTGAAGAAGTCATTTGATTTCTAATTCTTTATAATGGCATTATTGTGTACCATTGAGTCAGAATCCACCCATAGTTGACCCTCCAGTGAGTTTCACACGGGAGGAGATTGCCCATCTTTCTACTATGGAACAACTGGTGGATTGGAACAGTGTACCTTTGGGTTGGCAGGGTATCTTCTTACCACTAAGCCACCAAATCCTTTCCCTTTTGACTCAGTTTCCAGTAATTGTTGCCTCCTAAATAAATTACTTTTTCCTCCTCATTTTCACAAATAGAGTAAACATATTTCATTTAGTATTAGCTTAAGATACCTATATTGATTCTTTATTGAAAAATTTTTGTTATTAACATTAGCAATTATTAAGAAGAAATAACTACACTAACATTTATTCCTTTGATGAGCACTGGCTGTATGTGAGGCCCCATGCTGTTACTGTGGGGTTGACACCCTGGCTTCTAAAGAATTAGACCAGATGGGAGAGGCTAAAGGGTTGATGTCTGAGCCACAGATGTAGCAACAGTGCACAGCAATTTTAATGGCTCTTAAGTCATTTTTAGTGTATAGCAAGCATGGAGACCCTTAAGAGAGCTATTGTTTGTCTTAATCAAAATAGACCCAGCATGGGCCAAGTCCTTGTTAGAACATGTGGACTGAACTGGATGTCCAGCTTGGCAAGAGGAATGGTGAGACAGGAGCAAAGGTGAATGTAGATGTCGTTTTCTTAGCAAAGATACATTCCAGAGAGAGAGGAACGGGTCTCCCTCTGATGAAAAGAAAGTAATGGAGGGGACATCGTGCCACCGGAGTAGAAATATATATTGATGTGGTGGGCTCATTTCCTCATTTGGGTTTGCTCTGGAGCTTGAGTCAGAGCCAATGTGATAATGTTGTGGGAAGTTCAAAACTTGGTGAGTGGTTCCCACTCTGTTGTTCCTGACCTCACTGGCTGTATGATGTTGCTTTGGGGACAGTGTTTACTGTGCACATCAGGGCTGTGGGGCACTGGGGTTCTTTTAAGGCAATGTCACCTGTTCCTTGGTTTCCATGACTATTGTCCTCTTGCCAAAGGAACATGAGTTCTGTCTGATTTTAGCTATTTTCTTTGACCTTTGCTTTTAACATGGCTTTTTGATGTCTTTATCTCATTAGCATAGATCCTAACATTCTCTCCACCCAGGCTTGCCCCATTTTGCCTCATAGACGCAATTTTGACCCTAAAAATGGCTTTGTGAAAATACTTTGTCCATTCTACAGATGAGGAATTAGATCTAGGCAGTTAAATATTTGAGCAGTGGGCTCCAAATCTCAATCGCAGAAGCCCAGCTCCTCACTTTTAAAAACATTGTCTAAATTTTCTTTATATAAAATGTAATATTTAAAAAGATAAGACTATATTGATTAATGTGAATTAACTGAAAAGCTATTCAATTGCTCATTAATTCACTATTCCAGGCATTAGGGTGGTTCTGAGTGGCTTCTAGAAAGCTCTGGCTAGGGAGTGGGTTTTGGAGAATAACAAAACTGACTATACACAGATATTCCCAAACTGATCACATCTTGGCCCTTTCCCCTTCCTCTCTCTTATGACTGTCATTGTAGTCATTTGCAATAACTTAAACAGCCAGAAATGAAAGGCTATTCATCTGGTTTTAAGTCTCTGTTTTCTGGATAGGATGTCACAATGTCCCAGCAATCACAGTACAAGTTGTGTTAGACTCCTAATACAACAACTCAAGCCCTGAACAGGACTCACAGGGATCCCATGAACAAGGATCAGAATCTTGTTCTATCCTTTGCCATTCTCAGCATCTGTCCCAATACAAGTTGTTGTTATGTGCTATAGAGTCAGAACCGATCCACAGCTGACCCTCCCTCAGGAGGCAGTAAATCGCATGAGAAGAGATTGCTCTTCTATCTCCCGTGGAGTAACTGATGGATTCAAACTGTGGACCTTCAGAGTGACATCAAAGCTCTTTAAGACTAGGCCACCAGAGCTCACTTCCCAACACAAGAGAGCATCATAATGAATATTGTATGAATGCCTGTCATTTAGAAGAGCACTATTCATATCCATTGTCAGTTGAACTTCACAGAGCCCTCTGAGCTAGGAGGGGGGCACACATTATCCCTTTATGAAATGAGGAAGCTGAAGCCCAGAGGGGTTAC